GTTCAACAGTCTGATGGCAGTGGGGAAGAAGCTGTTGCACAACCTGGTGGATCTGCAGCGGATGCTGCGGAACCTCTTTCCAGAGGGCAGCAGGGAGAACAGTCCATGGTGGGGGTGTGAGGGGTCTTTGATGTAAACCAAGGATACCGAGGATACATCGGACCCGTCCTTCAAATCGGGCAAAAAGAAGGACGCATTTTAAGGTCGCATAACGAGGACTCTTGGAATCCGACCAGACCTCGGCGCCGCGCTATGACGTAATCGTCCTTCGAATCTGGCCTTCTAAGGACGCGTCCTAGGTTTTCGAACAGAGCACCTGTGTTCAGTCAAGATGTGGGTCTTTGAAGGAGAGATGCTGTCAGCTGGATAAAGTTTGGATAGATTCTAAGAATAGATTGGTTGGAAAAACAACCAAACTAGTTGCTCAAAGCTAATTTGGTTAGAATAAACAATGTAATGATCAAAATTTGAGCAAACCACCGCACAAAGCCAGTGTTAATACGTCACTATTAATGACTATTTTCTCCCAGCTATGCCTACCTGCATACACAGGCTCTCACTTTAGAGGTTTTGATGGTTCAAGACTTCCCTTTGGCTTTTGAAAGTTGTGATTAAACTTAATTATTTTGGCTGATGAGACTAATTTGCATTGTTTTGCCCGAATAAAAATGTAGATTGGATAAATTAGGTTGGTTTAGCTAAAAGATTAGTTGAACACAACTTCCAAGCTGATTAAAACCAAAAAAACGTGGAAAAACTATCATGTTTGAATAAAAATGACTAACACCTTTCATTTTGCTCATCATTGCCCAATCTGCACAAACACTTTCACTGTCTGCTTGAGTTTATTTCACTAAAATGGCAGAAAAACTGTGCACCTTAAATGATTGTTCTAAGAAATTTTACACTTAAAAAAACTTACAAAAGATTTTATAATACACACCAACCATTAACAATTTCAAGGGAATTTAAAAGGGGAAAAAAAGTTGCAAAAAAATCACAGATTTTATTACAAACTGTAGTTCTACTCTCCACCAGTAGGTGGTGACATGTTCACACAAAACATCAGTGTTTGGCTGACAGTTAGGAAGTTCGAAAGTTAAAAAAAGAAAAAAGGAAGTTCAAAAGTTGTGGGCGTTCCACTGTCCGTATATTTTATGGCAGGCCGTATTGACATTTATTAGCTTGACTAAATATGTAATTCAGATGCCTCAAATGCATTTCTGCCTAGTCAAAAGTAACATTCTACGCAGCCCACTGGGTGTCAGGGTAACAAAAAAAAAACACACACACAAAAAAAACGGTGGAAATCCGTGGGCACGGATTGAGAAACTGTTCTCTCTGTGTATTGTTCCTCAATTAATTGTTTTATAGACATAGTTCAGTGCGATGCTTTAATGAGCATGCTTTAGAGCTTGAACTTGCATCGAACTCTGAAGGTTCCGGAGCAACTGCGCAGGCAATGCAAGCAGGACACACAATTTATTGATCCTGTGCACTCAGTATATCAATCCATGCCCAAGGTTTTCCACCGGCTTTCTTTTTTTTTTTTTTTTTACCCTGACACCCGTACGTTTCAGATATCTAAAATAACTTTCCTCCTATCTAAAATATACATTTCAGATAGCTGAAATGTATTTCATACTGCTATTCATAATTACTATTTCAGATATCAAAAATGAATTTAACATTCCAGATATCCAGAAATCCAATTCTTTACATCTAAAATAGATTTCTGCTTGTAGAAATATAACTATAGATATCAGCTATTTATTTTATGACTAGTTAAACTAGCATTCCAGATATCTCATTTTTTATAGTGCCTATATAAAATGTTATTTTAGATACGTTTAAAAGAATAATGAGGCGCCGTTTTAAAATAAATAGTCACATTTCTATTATAGATAGCCCTAAAGGATTCTACCTAGTCAGAATTACAAAACTGCTAGTCAGAATTGTCTTTTACATATCACTAATTACATTTCTACCAATAGAAATAAAATATGAATTACTCCGGAATCAAATTTGTAATAGTAAGAACTACATTTCAGCTATTTCCAAACCATTACTTATTTTAGGTGGCTTTTTTTTTTTTTTACATATATTTGTTTGTATTTCAGATATCTTTAATAGGATTCCTTCTATCTAAAATGAACATTTCAGATATCTGAAATCTAATTCTTCCTAGTATTTCACTTTTCCCTAATTATGTGTATTGGGCCATCACTTTCAGATATCTGAAATGCAATTACTCCTATCCCACTCGGTCAGATAATCAAAAAACACAAGGTATCTTTTCATTGTTATGCAGATGACACCCAGTTGTACATAAAAATGGACTCCACTTCTCCCACAGTTCTGCCATCTGCTTTTCACTGTTGCCTGGAGGAGATAAAGACATGAATGGCTGAAAACTTTCTACAGCTCAACAGCAGCAAAACAGAAGCCATTTTCATTGGCACCCCACACCAAACCAAGTCCTTCTCCCTAAACAGTATCCCTATCTTCGGTCAAAACATCCCTCTGTCCTCATCTGTTACAAACCTTGGTGTCAAATTGGATCCACATCTCACGTTTGACTCCCACATACGTCACCTCTGCAAGGTCTCTTTCCTCCACCTCAGAAACATCGCCAAACTCCGCCCCTCCCTTTCCCAACCCGACGCAGAAAAGTTAATCCATGCCTTTTACCCCGTTTACACTACCCTTAAAAAACTGAGCAGAGACCGGTCCGAGCTCAGTAACTGAGATAACTTGTCGTGTGTGAACGGAAACAACCTGAACTGAACCGAGATAGACATAACCGGACCGCGCTAACTGCAGACCAGTTCCCGAGGTGGGTTCGGCTCGGTTTTTTCCTCGACATGTCGACTTTAAAGTCGCCCTGTCGACTTTAAACTCGCCATTTCGAGAATAAAGTTGAAATGACTGACATGTTCTCAAATTCAGAACTGCGAGCCTGGGTAAGCATAGGGAAAGATGTTACATTATTATTGGTAGGCCACCGCTTCCTGTGATGATTATACAGTTGCAGCACGTCAAAGACTACCTTCACTCTTAAAACGCAGACTGCAGCTTTGGAGCGCGGTTGCTCTTTTCTCCAAACTTTGGAATGTCGAGATTAAAGTCGCCACGATATATCAACTTTATTCTCGAAATGGCGAGTTTAAAGTTGAAATTAGTTCAAGAGAGCCAACCGCTGCACAGGATACATGCACAGAATCCAGAATCAGACATGCCTTGTGTAGATGATTTGGTCAAATTGTACCTTCTGTGATGATTATACAGTTGCAGTACGTCAAAGACTACCTTCACTCTTAAAACGCAGACTGCAGCTGTGGAGCGCGGTTGCTCTTTTCTCCAAACTTTGGAATGTCGAGATTAAAGTCGCCACGATATATCAACTTTATTCTCGAAATGGCGAGTTTAAAGTCGACATGTCGAGTTTAATCTCGTCATGGCAAAAATATTTTTTCTCTTCATGTGTGGCCCTAATACTCCGTCGTAGACTACTGTAATGCCCTCCTCGTCGGGGTCCCTGGCAAAAGTCTACAAAAGCTGCAGCACATCCAGAACTGTGCTGCCCGGGTCCTGACGAGGAGGCGCAAACACGAACACATCACTCCAGTCCTCAGGTCCCTTCATTGGCTGCCCATCCAACACAGAATACATTACAAACTTTGCCTCCTCACTCACCAGTGCATACATGGAACTTTACCTCAAGGAACTCCTCACACCTCACACCGTTTCCAGAACCCTCCGCTCCACCACCTCCACCCACCGACTGCACCAGCCAAGAGTCAAGCTCTGCACAATGGGAGATAGGGCCTTCCAGGCAGTTGCCCCACAACTCTGGAATGGCCTCCCAGAGTCCCTTAGGGTCCCACAGAGTGTGGAGGCGTTCAAGAAAGGCCTCAAGACATTTTTATTTAAAAAAGCCTTTGAACATTAGTTAGTATTTTATCTGTGTGGTTTTATGGTTATTTTACTTTTTTGTTTTTACTATGTATGTTATTTTATTGTAATGTCTCATTTTAACTATGTATACTGTTTTTATTGTACGGTTTTGTTTTAACTATGAATTTTGTAGCACTTTGAGATTTTTTTTTTAAATGTAAAGTGCAATACAAATAAAATGTATTATTATTATTATTTTTATTATTATCTAAAATAAGCATTCTGGATGTCTAAAAATGAATTTCAGAACTCCCTAATCCTCCTATTGTTAATAGTCATAATTTTTATTTCAGATATCAAGAATGAAGAAAACATTGCAGATATCTAAAATGTAATTTCTGACATCTAAGATATATTTTTTCTAGTACAAATATCTTTACAGATATCTACGACTACATTTGTACCAGGGACAATTTAGTTGTGGATATCCATAAATCCCATTCTTCCTATCTAAATTAGAATTGAGTGCTTTTATGTAGCTGATTATTGATGCAACGTAATAGTCATTTATACTAGCAGTAACTCTATTATGGAGAACTGAAATTAGAATTCATCTGAACACATTTTTAGATGGGAAGAATGTTTAACTTAGAAAGGAAGAATTTTATTTTAGATATCTGGAAGTAAAAGCCCAATACACCTGAATGGGGAATGTGACGTCATTTGTACTAGTATTAAATTTCAGCCATCTGAAATGAATATTTTAGATAGAAAAACGTTATTTTAGATATCTGAAATGTTAATTTTGACTAGAAAGAAATGCAATCGAGACATCTGAAATATATATTCAGTGAAGTTAATAAACGACAAAAGGACCACTTAAATTATTAAAGATTTCTAGATATTTAAAAGTTTATCCTTACTAGTACAATTCTATGTTTGGTAGACTGAAATGTAATGTTTATTTTTTTTAGGATATCTTTATGCACATTTCTGGCTAGTAGGAATGCAGTTTTGACTAGGAAGAATCTTATTTTGAAGATCAACAAATGGAACAATAGAGAGGACTGCGCTTCTAATAAATGTCGTATCGGCCTGCCATAGCCGTTCCTGCTGCGCCTCTTACCACAGGTCATGTAGAAACACGGACATTACTTCATTTGCCTGTTATGTTTTACTTTTATTTCCATTATTTGTTTTTTCAAGCAAACAAAGCATGAATTCCAAAATCTTCGAGAGCTAGAGAAAAACTGGAAAAGAACACAATCATAACGGATTACAGAAGGGTGACCACCGGTTTAAGGCGCATATTTGTTCTTCTTTTTGGGGTGTCCCAGGGAATGTTTTTTTTTCCCAACTTTTCTGCACTGCTTCCAGTAGAATGTCTTTTATTCTTGTTTTAGTAGGGATTGCATGAAATTAATACCCTGCGCACAAGCAGAGCTGTCAAACCTGCGTATCGGCTTGCTTTGTTGTAAAGTCGCAGTTAAATGGCGTGAGTTGTTTTTTTTTTTAGCTTGATTTGTGAGCGTACATTCGCATATTCGGGCTGTTTCTCCATTAGAACCCTTTATTTATCCCGACAGGGCAGGATAATCCTGTCTATCGCTGTGCAGCAAGTCCTCGCGCGGCCACTTCTTCCTGAAAGCGCGCGCCTTACAGACTAAGCATGGAATCTTCTGCTGATTTCTGTTAAATTCTTCAATCCAACAAGACCCCAAACACACAACAATGAGCGCTACTGCAGGGACTGGAGTCTTTATGCTCTCCCTTATATCTATCCCCTTCTGCTATTTATTAAATTCTCTCATATACAACAACAGGTAAGTGAAGGCAGCTATAGCTCTCTTTAAGTAGATATTAATTGGTTTATGTTTTTATTTTAAATGTTTTGTTTCAAACTTTAAAGATAAAACTTTTTACATTCAGTACAGAGGCGTTCTTCTTCGCTTTGTGGACAGCAGCCCTCATTCTGACCATTGCAATTCGTTTTATGCTCAAGAAGGCTCCTGTTGATCCACTCTTCTATGGTATAATTTGTTAATTTTTTTTTATTTTAGACTTTTTTTTTTTTTATATATTCACCAGTTTGTTATTCTTGACTGACAAAAAAAAAAAAAATCATTGCAGTGTATGCAGTGTTTGCTTTCCTGAGTGTGGTGAATCTGATCATTGGGCTGGAGCAGGACAACATCATTGATGGATTTGTGACATTCTACCTAAAAGAGGTAAAACAAATAAATGCAATTGTGTTTACAAGGTGTGTCTCAAATGTTTCCCGGCACAGATTTTACTGACAAATCTCTGTTTCAGGCAGAACCACACGTTAATACAGCACACGGGCACATGATTTCCTACTGGGATGGCTGTGTGCATTACCTCATGTATCTGCTTATGGTTGCTGCCATTACATGGGGGTAGGACCTGTCCATCTAACGGTGTATCTGTGTATGTCTGGGTTGTGGCGCTGACAATAGCTGTCTCCCACTATGTGCACAGGGACAGTTACCGGGCAATTGGACTATACTGGGTGGGCTCTTTCCTCATGCGCACCATTGTCTACAATCTTGGGAATGCTGTGGGTAAGAACACCAAAAATAATAGGGGATATATTTGGATTTCTTGTGCTGGCTACTAGCTATTAATTGTCTAACAAATCTGTGTGAAATGTTATCCTCTGTCTTTTTTCCAGGAAAATATGGGACCCAAGTGACTCCTTTCTTCATCCTCCACATGCTTTATATCTCAGTGTCTGTGTGGGCATGCTTCAGGGTCTTCAGTCAGCCTTCGACACATGATGCTCAGTTACCAGTAAGTAACTAATTCTGCTTGGTGTGTTGCTTTTGTCAAACTGGAAACCTTTATGTCATCATTTATTTCATATCACAGTTTCTGCTCAATATTTTCTGCATACCTAATAATGTCAAAATCAAGATAAAGAGGAAGCAACAAGTGGTTTAACCAGATCAATCCAACCACAGTAAATCCAGCATATAATTAGCTAATTTAATTCAGTTTATTTATATAGCACCAATTAACAACACATGTCATCTCAAGGCACTTTACAATTCACCAGATCATACAGTCAAATTGATTCAAAGTTTTCTATCTAAGGAAAACTAGTTGATTGCATTGACTCAGTGACTTGAAGACTATTCCTCACACTAAGAACGCTTGTAGCGACAGTGGAGAGGAAAAACTCCCTTTTAACAAGAATAAACCTCCAGCAGAACCAGACTCGGTGTGAGCGGCCATCTGCTGAGGCTGACTGGGGTTCAAGGAGATAGAAGCAGACATAGAAAAGAAAGCAGAGATACAAAAAGCAGCTGTAAAAGGCGCCCCTGCCCAGAGGAAATGCACAGCCAGACAGACGAGCTCTGAGCCAGCTCTCATGTCAGAGGATGAGGAGAGCACATCCAGCCAATCACAGTCAGACAAACAGGACAACAATGAAAAACAGGCCAAGCTTGAACATCTATAAACAAAGGTGTTGATGGCAGCAGCACAGATGATATTTCTCTCCTGGATGGTGTTACAGACAAACAGGAACAGATCAGATGAAGCTACTATGATGGGAAAAAGCAGAGAGAGCAGAACGTTAGAGATTGAAATAAGTCAGTCGGAAATATATTTCCTAGTTTTAAGGGTTAGAAAGTTTTTATGCATTTATCTTTAAAGGCAAAAACTTACAGCAACACAAAAAACCCACCAGGAACATGGAGCAATATCAGATTTTAACTATTTATTTTGATTAAAGATTATATTATTTCCCAATAATCAAATTTATTTCCAATCTTTAATTCAGTCTTTAATTATTTGAGAAACTTTAAGGAAAATAGAACCAGTAGGAGAAGCCTGTGGCTCGTCTTCTAAATTCAAAAAGCATAGATGAAAACAGTACAGCTTAAGCTCCAGAAGGTCATATCAGGGCACAGGCAGATGAAAAGTAAAACTGATGCTGTTAAATTTCAGAGCAGTCAAGAGGCCCAGCGGGCGAACTTGCTCCAAAGACCTATGGATCTACTATTCATTGTCTACCTCATTCCAGCTTTCGCCTTCTGTGTCTTCAGGGGCTTGGTAAATAACTGCAAAACGATCAATTAACATGGGTTTATGCAAATTGCTATTAATGGCTGGTATTTGTTTTGGAGGTTGTTCTGGACTGTTCTGGCAAATTGTGTGAGGACTACACCCAGCGGTTTGAGCCTTACCTCAAAGATCCCTCTGCCTACCCTAAAGTTCAGGTAGCTTACTTACATGGTTCCTGGAAACGCAGTCACCTGACTGATCTGTCATTTCTTGAACTTTTTTCCCCCTTTTCCAGATGCTAGTGAGCTTGCTGTATTCAGGACCATACTACATTTTGACTTTGTATGGGCTGTTGGTCCCAGGATGTCAGTGGATGCCAGATCTAACTCTTGTGCACTCAGGTGCTCTGGCTCAGGTAGGTAATACTGATCATTAGACAAACTTTATTGAGTTTCAATGCATACAGCTTTTTAACAGTGAATTAGCAGCTTAGCAGGGAAATTAACATTTCCATGTATAAAGTGCAGCAGTGACAAAAATGTAAAAAGTGTAGGAGAAAAGGAAAAGCAGTTTGAAGACATGGTGCAAAAGAAATTGATATGGTAGATTCAGGGCAGTGCGAAACAAATAAGTATGGTGCAAAATGCAGTAGAGCACTGAGTTGAGTTCTGTTTAAAGGGATTTAAAAATTCACCATGTAGTGCAAATATGTTTACAAGTCTGATACAGTCTTGATATGTGACTTGATCCGAGTTTCAACAGTCTTATGGCAGCGATGAAAAAGCTGTTGCAGAACCTTCTGGTCCTGCATCAAATGCTGCGACGCCTCTTCCCAGAGGGTGGCATGGAGAACAGTCCATGGTGGAGGTAGAATGGTGGTAGAATAGTCGCATTCTTAGCACCTAGGCTTTCAAATATTATTTAACAATTCAAATACTTAGTTAACAATTAGCTGTACTCTCCACAACGATGACCTTTAAGGAAGAGTGATTGGAAAGAGCTTTGGACGAAAGGAGAACATGCAAAACCACTTTTAAAGTTGGCCCCGAGTAAAATAGAAAACACAGCAAATATTAGGAATGGAATTTAGCTAGATAAGGTCAGAATGGAACTTTTTGGACAATAAGCAAAGACTATATGTAGTGGAAATCTATCCGTGCACTTTGCCCTGATTACAGCATCCCTATTTCAGAAACATGTGGGCGATTAATCAACAGGAAAGCTGGGCCGCTCCTATCCCTGTCAACCTCATGACATGCACTCAGGCTAATCTTATTTAACATTAGATGTCTAATTCAGCGTCTTAATTTGTATAATGTTTCCTGTAAAGCCATACTAATCAGTCAAAAGACACATTTTAGTTCGTTAGAATAGCGCCTGGAAACAAATTTATTGGATAGTTTGTGTGGAAATTGAGATGTGAAGTCTCTGTTCTGTTTTATAGCTTTTTTAGGGAGGTTGTGTTACATTTATTTTTGTTGAACTGATAGGAAATCCTGTCAAATAGCTGAAAAAGGTGTCTTATTTTATCTACCAGTCTGAAAGCGGTACAACTGTCCAACTATCATGGAACAAACTGTCCCTGTCTTCACTTAGCACCTTCAGGTTTTAGCTTTTAAAATGAACTTTTTGCTGCTATCAGAGTATCAGTCTTATTTTAATTACACAGAGGCCTTTATGTTAAAGAGTTCTGTGAGAAAGCAAAATATTTTGACAAAGTGTCAGATAAAGGATGAACATACAGTAAAGTATTGGTTATTCTTTTATTTTCTCTAAAGTTTCAATTATTTGCTGTTTAGCGATCCCACCAGCTGCACTGTTGAAGTATGTTTATTGGGGGAATGAGCACAATAGAGACATGTTTTCTGATCTAAAATTGGAAAACTATGAAGATTGGCGGGAGCAGCTAGTACACCACTCTCCTCTCTACCATACAAAGCAGCTATTGTGATTAAGCTCCAAGCTGGCATGTCTGTCATCAGTAGGACTAGGGCAGAAAGTGACTTCAGACCAAGAGGAATGGTGGTATTGCTAGTCCTCATTTAAATGTCAGCTGTTTAACTGGACTATAAATAGGATGGCTGGTCCAGAAGGCTCGCTTGCCAGGAAACGCACCCATTTTCAGTAACTTAATTAAAACTTGATTAGGGGGGAGTTACTCTTGTTTCAACTTTTTTAAGGTATCTTAATGACTTAAATATATCCAGATGCAATGGCTTTTTAACATAAATTCAGTCAACTACATCATCAGTTTTCCAGTCCTGTTTGCATCGTCAACATGCCAATTAGAAGGCAGATCTTGTAAATGATCTTTTCAGAATGTCTGCTTTTGTTGCATCAGTTCTCAGTGCTGTTTTGCATGTTACGATAAAGAATACCAGACACACTTCGAAATAATATCTACAAGGTGGTCCCCTTTGATCAGATGGTATCTCATTATATTTATATGTATGATAACACATTACTTAATGTTTATGTATTATACATGCATTTTGAACTGGTGTCTCAGAAAACATCCCTTTGGGAGATCATGACACTTGATGCTTAATTTTGGTTCACAGACATGGATTTTAAAGGTTTGCACACTTTACTAAAAGGTCAGGTGTTTGTTATGTAAAATTTGTTATATCCTGTGTTATATCCTGTCTAGTTCAACAGGAAAAAAAAAAAACGTATGCATTAAAAGGTTAAGTTAAGAGAGCACCCTCATTTAACTCATATTTTATAGAAGCACCTTTTGATTTGGTTTCCATATTAAGTTTTCCAGCAGATATTTAAATATTTTTAACTAAGCCAGACAGGTGTTGTGAACTATTCACAACTTAATCCATCTTGCACGAAACCTCATTTGCATCAGTAGAAAATGTATCCCAGATCATGATGCTGCCACCAATATCTTTTGGTTCCCTTTGACTATAGTATATAGTGCTATGAATGAATGGATTTGATGGAGCTGCATTGAAGCACCTCAGAGCTCTTTGTCAACTATGACCCATCAGACTGGGTCATAGTTATTTAGGCATTGTTCCCAGGCGTAGAACTGAACATTGGGTGCAGCTTTACTTCAGTGTGCATCACCTCTTTAATAAAATCTGAGAAAACCTGAGATGTACACCAAGTGATGACATCTTTGCCAACTGTGCAGTTTTGAAAAAGGCAAAACCATTTAGTTATCAGTTTATCTTCATTTTCTTTTTTACGTCTTTCTTGCATGTGTAAATTTAGTGTGATTCTTTTGAAAATGTTTGCCTGTATTGTAATAATCTTTTCTGACTATTGTTATGTAAAAAGAAAGTTTGCCTCAGAAATACATTTATGATAAAATGTAAATATGAATGTGATAAGATTTTGAAGTACATCTTGTCATTCATCTCGGAAAGGGCATTCTGAATGAGAATTTGTTAAATAGCTGTCCGAACGTAAAAAAAATATATATATATATATATATTTTTTTTTTTGCAACAATCTATAAACCACAAAGAAAAAGATTGTGCCTTTCCATGTATAAGTGAGATAGATGTAAAACTCAAAACATCTTAAAATAATTATAGATAAAGTGTCAATATTTCTTAATTTGAGTAGGTAAATAAGATGATCTGGCAATGGAATGAGTATTTTAAAATGACATAATTAGCTTTTATACACTTGAATTAAAACAATGCAATTTGTTTTCTTATTTTAAATTGTCTTATTCCATTGGTAAATTGTCTCCCTTACCTGCTTCCCGGGTCCAACACACCTGAATTAAATGGCTCAATTACCACCTCAGTTGAAGTCAAGCTCTCAAGAGTCCAGCAAATGATTTAATTATTTTATTTAGATTAGTTTTAGCAGAAACACATCTAAAATGTGCAGGACACCAGTCCTGGAGGATCAGAATCCAAAATAAGTATCATAATATATTAAATCCATATGATTCGGTGCTGTCAGATGAACATGTCCTCTTTAAACCTTAACTTACTGTGAATATTTCTCACATTTCTTCCTTTTCTGCTTTTTACAGGCCCAGTTCTCTCATATTGGTGCGTCCCTTCATACACGGACACCGTTCTCTTACAGAGTGCCAGCTGACAGCCAGCCCATCTTTTTGCTTGTTAATGTTCTGTATGTTCTTGTGCCTCATGCTCTTTGCTATCGCTGCTGCACACAACCAGACTTCTTCCTCAAACCAAAGGGAGACAAAAAATCCCAATGACTTGGCACCTCTGGGATGCTTACACATACCACAGATGACAAGGATGCCTTAAAAAAAAGCTTTGTTTTTTGGATTGTCTCTGTTTTTTTAACGCTTGCGTCCGGGAACTGGAATAGAGCCATGTCTTGTTGTTTAGGCAAGAAATGTGAATAAAAATGTGAACAAGATGAAGAAACTTATTCTGGTTTGTTAGTTAAAAACAACAGCTTTATGTTTACCGGTACTATTATCTTCTCAAAGTTTTTGTCAACAAAACCATTTAATTTTCGAGTCAGAAATTTGAATTATCATTGAAATAATTTGCGGTTATTGTAACTTGTAAGATGAGGTAAAAAAAAACAAAAAAACATTCATGTACAATTCTGAAAATATTTTATTCACAGCTCCTGTACTTGCAGATGGGTTCTTGGCAAATGTGTTCTAAACACCTAAAGTTCCAAAATGTTATATTTTTTTAGGAGTCCATGTATTTTTTTTCTAAATCAAACGTACAAACTGATATTGAAAGCATTTGTCCTACAACTCCACAGGGACCTACTATACCCTTCATGTTTAAATTTAAGGTTATTTCATAAAATGGATAGAAAATATATATTTTCAAAAAATTATCTTGTTGTTTCTACATTCAAAGCATCACTATTCAGAGTATGTTGCTATAATGAATGTACCCCCTTTCTTGAAATTATTAGACAGATTTTTTTTTTTTTATGTGGACAAAAAAAAATTAATAAACACGTTTTGACGACAGTGTTTAATTTTGCCATGTGGTTCACACTCCTTACCAGCTGGTGGCGGTAATGCTCACCTAACGTTTTTGCCAACCGCCACAAACATTTCCACAAGAAGAAATTGATATTTTTTTTTCTTTTTTTTACCGGAACCCGGAAGTACTTTAGCCTCTTCCTTCCATTTACTAGCATACAAGTACCCCTTTAGCTAGCACAGATTTCTAATTTTCGAGATTTCTGTTGATTGCACTAATTGAAATACAGCAGAAATGTTTATATTAGTAATATCTCCACAAAGACTCTTAGCGAAATCCTGGAGGGTATAAAATAAAGAGCTATAAGCTTTATTTAGTTATTCATTTAACTTGTTTGCTACCGTTAGCTGAGCTAACCGCAGCTAGCTTCAATGGCAGCTCCCAATATTATTGCCTCGACTCCTGCATTAAGGTTTGAAATCATCTTTTCATCATTTTAAAACAACTAGATGACGAAGTAAAAAAAACAAAAACATGAAGCAATGTTTTTTAAATAAAACTGGTATTAAGATGCTAAGAAGCTTGCACAGTCTCTATCAATTGATTAGCTAAATTCTAAAGTAAACGATGAGTGTTTTCAACCAGATGTTATTGTTTTTTTACACTTAAGTCAAAAGCAGCGTAGATTGGCTCAGAGGAAGGAGAGAAGAAGACGGAAACGACAAGCTGTTGCTCAAGCCAGAAAATGTGGTACAAACTTTAATCATTTTTCCTGAGCAGTTTTCATTTCCGTGTTGCATTGATATTTAACTAAGGGATGGTGCTTTATGATAGAATTGGAAACTAATATTGGAGAAGAAGAGGAAGAGAATGATGAAGACGAGGCTGTTGACGAGGAAAGGTAGGCATCCATCCCATTCTTTCAGCTACTGAAAACCCTAAATCACTCCATAACTTATTTATATTTTTTGTAATTCAGTCAGCGGCTACATGAAGAGTGGTTGGGAAGAGAGAGACTGGCTCAGGAAGAATTCAGGCAGAGGAGAGAGCGGGAGGAAGCTGCGAAGAAGAAGAAAGAGGAGGAGGAGGTAATCCCCTATAAATAAAAAACTAAAGATTTTCATTGATAAAGAACTGTCATGATGCAGCCTTGTCAGTTTCCAACAGTTAAAACACAGATGCTAAAGTTTTGCTGTTGTTGTTTACAGCAAATGATAAAGGAGGAATGGGAAGCCCAGCAGAGGAGAGAAGAGGAGGAAAAGGAGCAGAGGCTGCAGGAAAAGCGAGACAGAGAGGTGAAACGGACTCCAGGAGGATAGAAACTAAAAGAAATATATCCTCTGCTGCTAATTATAGAAAACATTCAAGTTACATAAAAGGTTAAACAGATTTTATTACCTAATGATAATCAGATAAACCGTGATTTTGCTTCATGAGTAATGATTACATTTCCTTGACTTTGTTGGCACAAGCAACCATCCTATTCCTCAACTAAGATACACTCAATGAAAAAAAAAAACCTTACATCTTCAGCTTCCCATCAAGAATGTATCTTTTACCTTGTGTGGTACCTTTATATAAACGTGATCTATAAGTCTGTCAATATTTCATTTTTCTGTTTATATTTTGGGTGATTTGTTTGCCCATCAGGCCTTGGGAATTAACTCTTAACCCCCAATAACAGATATGGTGCAGCATGTTCTTATTTTTCACAAATGGTGTGTTTAAAACATTCGTAGGAGGCCGTCCAGATGAGGTTGGATGAAGCTGAGAATCAGGTAAAAAACCAAAACAAAAGGTCACCCTAATATAGCAGAGCATCTGTAGGAGACTTACAAATGTATTATTTAAGCCATAACCAGCTTTTTATGCTAAAGACTCAAAGCTGAAATGTGTGCTTTGACTTTTTGATGGTAGAACAAGTGGAGTGTTGATACAGACACGTGTTTGTTGTTCTCTGTAGCTGGATAATGGAGGACCGTGGATGAATCCCGAGGCTCCTGTAGCACCGAGCTCAGGAACAGAGCGCAACATAGCCAACTGTCCTTTCTTCATTAAGACCGGAGCGTGCCGATTTGGAGACAGGTGCAGTTTGGGTTTCCTTCCTGCATTACAATGTGCAGTTTAAATTTAGAATATTGTCATTTCAGAGATGCATTTAAAATTCAACTAAAGGAACCTCTTCATGATCTTTGTTTTGTTTTTTATCTGTAAGTGCAGATGTTCCCGGAAACACGACTATCCGACCTCCAGCCCGACTCTGCTGATCCGAGGGATGTTTAAGACTTTCGGAATGGATGAATCCCGGCGGGATGATTATGACATGGATGCTTGTTTGGAGCACAGCGAGGAGGAGCTGCTGGAGTTGTTCACTGAATTTTATCACGACGTTCTGCCTGAGTTCAAGAATATCGGCAAAGTTGTGCAATTCAAGGTGAAAGGAGAGAAAGCTGTTTACTGAAATTTAATTTCATGATCTATCTCTTTAATATTTGAGTTCCTCTGTGTTTGTAACATCCTGCCCATTCTGCTCCTAGGTCTGCTGCAATCATGAACCACATCTGAGAGGGAATGTTTACGTACAGTTTGACACGTAAGTGACTAATTTCCTGACTTTTTACATAACAGGTTTATTTATTATTTCTTTTTAGTCTTTTTCTGATTTGGTCACATAATAACCAAAAACGTAAATGTACCTTAGAGGTATTTTAATGAAGTGCACCGAGTCAGTACCTCGTTCAACCACTTCTCAATGCAGTTAAAGTAACCAGGCCTCTAGAATATTTCTCTCAAGGCTGTAGGTATCTATACACGGAAATACACTCACCGGCCACTTTATTAGGCACACCTAATAAAGTGTTACCGAACATGGGTCGACCCGCTAACAAGCAGCATTTGGTTCCCTTCCCATTATGCATGGGTTTTGCCCTCCCACTGCTTCGTGTCTGAGGATGCCATCAGGCTCGGTTAGTGTTGATCATGTCGTCAGTGCGACAGAAATGTAAACAATGGAGAGCAACATGGAAGGGAGCCAGGTTGTATTAAGTTTGCTTTATTGTTTGGCTCTTTTATCCGTCCGAATCCCTCTTGCCAGGGCTGCGCAATGTTTATCAAATGTAAACAGAGTTATATTGGTTTGTTAGATCAGATGCGACTGGCACAGTGTTTTATAAGAAAAAATTGTTCTGCATCTAAAATCTTTGATATTAGCATGCTGATAGAAACACTGCTTCTGTTTGAACTTCATTAGACCCATTGGGGTTCTATCTATCTTTTAATCAACCAGGACTTTCTTCATGCTACTTCAGGTTTGTGAAGCCTTTTAACCTGAGCAGTGGATCTCTGTAGCTTTTGGCAGCTTCACTCATTAATACTCTGATTATTCTTGGTCTTTATAAAAAAATATTCTTTAAAAAAGCCTCCGAGGACCTGATAAGCAGATTATATACAGAGATTAACACACAAGTGGATCTTGTTTGAATATAGATAAACTGCAAAGGTAGTTTAGTGGATTTTATTCAGAGGTATCAATTTAAACATTGTTCAGCTTTTTTTTTTTTTTGTTAAAAAACTTTTCCATTCACCCCCCGCCCTCCATTCTCTATATGAATGCCATTGAGTCAGTTTAAGAGAACTGAATTCTAGATTGTAGATACAAAGCTCACGCGGTGTGAATACATCTGGAACGGACTCCAACCGTTTTGACCTTTGTCCACCTGTCAGTGAGGAGCTGTGCAGCGAGGCCTTCATGAAGTTCAATGGGAGGTGGTATGCAGGTCGCCAGCTTCAGTGCGAGATGTGTCCTGTTACACGCTGGAAGAGTGCCATATGTGGTGAGTTTGCTCTTTAGGGAAAGACCAGCAACACACCTTTTAGAGGATTTTACTATTCAATTGTTTGTTTGTTTTTCTCATTAGGGCTCTTTGACAGGCAGAAGTGCCCTAAAGGCAAAAACTGCAACTTTTTGCATGTATTTCGAAACCCGGGCAATGAATTCTGGGAAGCTGATAGAGACCTTCAGATCTCCCCTGACCGAAGTGCCAGGGGAAGCCGCAGAGACGAGTGGCATTCAGAGCGCTACGGAGAGCGATCGTGGAGGCAGCGTCGCAGCCCAGTGAGATCAGAGAGATCTCACAGGAGGTGGGAGGACGACAGAGAGAGGAGGACCTCTCACCAGCGTGGAGAAGGCACGTCTAAATCCCGACAAAGCGACAGGAGGACAGACAGACATCGGAGCAGGAGTAGAGAAAGGGAGAATAAATACAGAGATACAGGTTCTAGAAGAGACACGAGAGAGAGATCAAGAAGCACAAGTAGAGAAAAGAAAAGACGGAAACAAAGCAGAGAAAGAAGTCCTAAGGTAGAAGCCAAAAGTCTCTCTGATGGTACAAAAACCAACAGTCACAAACGCTCTAAAAAAAGCAAGAAGAGCAAAAAGAAACACAAAAAGAAAAGGCACCACTCTGACAAAACCCACTCCTCCACAGAGTCAGAAACCGAGAAAGAGTCAGAGGATAAGACTTGGGATAATTCTTCAATAGCCAGTCCCAGTGGAAACCTAAAAGAAGAGGAAACTGCTGAAGGGAATCATTTAAGCTCAGAGGTGAAACTGAGGCCACTCCTGAAATCCAGAGTGAGCTGACGGCAAACGGGGACATTTGATCCTAATTCGTTATTTTCTTCTGTTTGCTTCAGAATATTGAGCATAATACACTCTGAATGTTTAGATTAATTACAAATGTTTACGTCTATTTTATATCAAAGTACTTCAGGTGCAGCCTTTCAACATTTAAACACAACTTGTACACATTTCAAAATAAATACTGTTTACGGATTCAATACCATTTAAGGTTCTTCAGTTGGAAACCAAAGGTTGTTTTTGAATACATTTATTGTTTAAGAAAAACCATTGGCAGTGTTGAATATTGAACAAGTTATTCAGCACAAATCAGAGATGGTTTTGTTCAATAATGGTCTTGATTGCAGAAAAAAAAAACTGTATTGTCCAAGATCATCCATCTTGTTCATCTGCTTTTAAACTGAGTTATCAGGCTTATAGATACCTCTCATGCATCTGATTCTTTCACTTATCTAAAAAGCTCAGAAAATAAAATAGTCTATGGAATTCCCTTTTTCTGTTATTCTGGCCTTTAGACACCATTAACAAGATTAAACACAGTGTTCTTTGGTCATAAGTTAGTCTGTCTAACAATGAACCAAACCTTTCATCAGTGGTTATATAACAGTGTTTCTAAGTCACTATTTTTGTCCTGAAGACTAGAGAAAGGAACAAATAGAGACTTATCACAAAAAATGTAACATTTCACTTGAAGACTTTCAGAGGAGAGCTAATTGCTACTCATGACGATGTAGACAACAGAAGGAGGCTTGGCAAGATGCAGCAAACTCATAAACCACCAGGTTCAACAAATGTAAACTGTTTTGTTCTGCAAGAGTAATCAACACAAAAAGCAATACTGGCGCTCTAATCTAGCAATGTATAAAACATCCTGTAACAATAAGATCCTGTGAATTTTAACCTAAGTTCTCATGGTACAGAAATGCATCACTGTGCGCATTATAACCCTAAAAAAAAGTTGGCACAAAATAGAAAATATTGAAAGCAATCACCACTTCCTCACTGACAAAACATTTAAATCCAGTAAATGCAATTTCCAACGATATTTGTTCCCAAGAATCCGCGCATACAGTTGAAGTTTTCACCATTTGTCCAAGTTTGCTCTACTTAAATACTCATTTAGATATTGTGAAAGCTAAAAATACTGTGACTTCTTATCAGTGTACAATTGTTCACTGATTGTTCACTAACAGATTCTGCAAACATTGATAGCTGGAGTATCTAAAAAAAAAATGTTCTGGAGTGGTGACATATGGTGCTACATTGGTTTAGTTTGGAGGTTTGAAGAAATTGATGCTAAATATTACAGGATATTGTAGAGACGCACCAAAACCACATATGGCACCACATTAAATGGACCTTACAGTACAATACAATGATGCTGATTATATACATATAACACTGACACTACAGACAGGAAAAGACAAAAAGGATGTGATCATCTCAATGTGAAACCAAAGGCAGTTTGATGTTCTATGTGAGCCCAATTTCTTCCAAGACGCTCCGTGGTGCTTCGGCTTCCTGCAGGAGAGAAAACGTTTCATGCATTGGCTTTAGGTGGAATTAATAGCATTAAAGACGGCGGTCTGCACGGTCAGCTATGTAAACAATGGCCTGGCATGCTTTGCTATAAATACATCACTGAGTTGGGAATCTGTCAACTCCAAGTGGCTATACCTAGAGACCAGCACAAGCAGGCAGAGTGTGGAGTAGGAGGAGGTTTAATTTAATCGTTGCTGGCTTAGAATGAACAGGTGGCAGCAGATGGATTCACATTGGAAAATGTAATGCATCACCATGCGAGAGCGGCCCTTCTGTTTGGTTCAATGCCAGGTTTAATTATTTCGTTACAAACAAAAGTGAGTTCGCATATAAGATTTAAATACTATTGTGAGAAATATGAAGGTACTGATTAGAGGTTTGTGTATGTAAAGATCTAAAATCATAGTTAACATTTGATTTGTGGAGCATTTCATTAAAACACCAAAGTCTAGTTAAATATTGGTTTGCAGAACTAATCGGCCGAATCATCTCTTGCAGTGAATATCTGCTTTACTCCAAACAAGTTCTGCTCCATCACAAAAAATATAATATAAATAAAAATGGTCGCACCTCCTGCAGCAGGTCAGCCTGCTCAATGGCCTTCAGCACGTTCTTTTTGGAGGTTTCCTGAGCTTCTCCACCCAGCAGGAACTCATCCAGAATAAAGTAGGCCTTCTCAAAGTTGAATATGATATCCAGCTCACAAACCTGTGTGAGAATATCACCATTAATCACAAAAGTGATCCGTTTTTGTCACCGGCTTGTTTGTGTGACATTTCAGAGACTCACGCTGCCAAAATATTTGTCCAGTAGCTCCACATATCTGTGAATGATCTCCAGAGTGATCAACTCATTATCTTGATCCTCGACGGCACAACAGAAATACAGGCTGGCATATCTAAATAAAACAAAAACATAGTTCAAAGAAGGGTTAAATAAACCATTATTTGTTTCCTCTGTGTTGAGATACAGTAAAGGTGTGAATGTTAGTTAAAAGCGTAATTTCTTATTCTATAAAAAAAAAGCAGGGTTGTGTTTAAATGTTTATGTTTTTAACCACAAATCTCTGTTTTTAGTATTGTTTATGGCTAAGTAGTTCTGGGGCGAAAATAATAATTCAAAACAAATGAAAAACCAACATGATTGGGTTCTGTAAGTAGATGGTAGAGATGAACGCAATATTTTTACATAACATTTTTAACACTCACTTTTACTTAACTAATGGGCTGCAGAGTGGTAAAGCTGTTAGCGCCGTCTCCTTGCAAGCAGGAGCTCTAAGGGCTATATAAAGCCCTTCCAACAATCCAAATGCAGGATTTATAAACCAGCACATACGTTTGTGCTGGATTATAGCTAATTCATGTTAGTTTACTGGACCTTTATGCAATTCTCACAAATCCAGCTAAACTATTAATCTCATTTTGAGGCTAATGACTGAAACTCTACAATTTAATATTCTGACACAATACAATAAAAATTTGACACTTGACTTTATGCCTCAGACCAGAATTTCCATGATTGTTTAAAGGTTTTAAGCTCTATTTACTTATATACTTTGCTCTGTTATTTAGGAGAGAGGTCTTCAACGTTTTTTGAGGCTAGGGACCCCAAACTGCTGGTGAGATGGAGCAATGACCCCCTAATTTTATATATATCGATCAAATTGTTATATTGAACTGATCCTATAGTCACTTTATTACAGATGAAGTAATGTAACAAAAGTCATTTCTCCCTGGGATTATTAAAGTATATCTGATTCTCATTCCTGGTTAATGGGACAGGTGTTGTGAATGAAACGGTGCCCAGCTTGAAAGAGCTCCTGTGTGTCGCAGAATGTGTGCATTGATGACTGAAAGACATCTTCTGCCTTCCATTTATCTGTTGAATTCATGTTAATGTGGATTTAAAGACATTTCAATTAATGGAAAGAATTTGAGGGGGGAATATAAAAAAAAAAGTATAATCAAGCAAAACTTTCGTGACCCCCATGCAGTACCTCTGTGGACCCCCTGTTAAAGACCTCCGATTTAGGATAATAAATCAGTTACTAAGTCTGAAGATTCAATTTTCTTCTCACTGTTAAAACTGAGAAAAAGTAAAACATCCCAGAATCTGGTTACTGGTGGTTACTTAGAGGCAGCCTAGTGGTTATGGCATAGAGCTTGGAATCCTGAGTTTTAACCCCATGACCAAAGACTGCCACTCTGGATCTCTGAGCAAGACCCTTCACCCACAATTGCGCCCCGCAATGGCAGCCCACTAGCCAGATATACCAGACTAAATGTGAGATTAAATGTGTAATTTAGTCTGGCCCCGATGAATGAGACATCGGAAGATTGTTGATGAGAAAAACCCGGTGTTTTTCAAACCGCTGTCTGTGCCTATTGGCCAGCGCTCTGACCAATGAGCGCAACTGACTGTGACGTAGGAAGCGCGACAGAAAGCTTATGGGGGAGTGTAAACAAACAGCCTGTCAGTAAAACGGCGAATACGTCCTTAAAAATGAATGAGCGTAAATCCTCTTCCTGCACACGTTTCAACGAAAACCCCAAATCGAATCCTTCCAAAACTGATTCCAAAGCTGAGTCAAAAATCGCCATCAGAGCCAGCGGTCCTTCAGACATGACTCTGCCGAGAGAGGGCCGCTGCAGACGAGTGCTGTTAGCCTCGGAGGTCCGCTGGTTGCCGTGGTCCTCTAAACTTCTGAAATAGTTTTTTTAATTACACATTAAATCGGTAAATGAGCATATAGTGATGCTTTAAAGTATAATATTCTCACCTCAAATGATCTTAAAACAACAGCAACAGAAAAGAGAAATTTTAACTTTCAATGGTGTGCTCTAATGAAAGCTGCTGCTGCCACAGTGCATGCTACTGTTGTGCTTTCTCCAGCGTCACACAGCTTTGTCGTCATGCCCTCAAAACCCAGCCCACTTTGCATCCAGAAATTCAAAACTTCTCTGCGTTGTGATTGGCCTGCCAGTTCTAGGGCCTAGGGCATTGATCGAGGCAAGACCAAACTTGCGGGTGGGGCTGAGGTTAATTTCTCCAATGTGAGATCAATACAGTTAAATGATATTTTACCCCACACTATAAGTCTATTTGGGCAAAATGATGCACAGCAAAATTATTTTTTTTTTGCTCCATCATCTACCTTTTGTACACAATCTTGAGGTCCCTCCACTCCAGGAAACTGCACATCTTAGGCTTCCTGGCCAGTATGGTCTGGACCAGATCTCTGGAGATCTTCTTCCTCTCCTTGTCAGACAGAGGAACATACCATTTCTGAAGCCGTAGCTTCCCCTGCCGGCTGAACAGCAGCATGAACTGCATCTGGAAGATCCATGGGTGAGAGACATGGAGAGAAATGAAACCAAAAGGAGGATGTGGAAGTATTTAAGGAGGCTTAGGCATGGAAGTGAAGCAGATTAGAAATCAGTAAATTATATTTACTCTACAGAAACAAATAATAATAAAAGAAGATTTCATGCATTTAGTAAAAACTTAACAAGAAATGAAAGATGTAAACAATGCTAACACATTATAGTTTCATCAAATTTGGATCGTATCTTGTAAATCGCTCGCCTTAGGGGCGTTGGTGTTGAGTTTCATTAACTTACATCAGCTAATGTCGATTAAATGTCTGATTTTAACATCAACGCCACGTTACGTGACATTTGCGCCCCCTCCTGCGACGTTTATCTTGTTACAGTTAAAAAACAAGACAGATAGAAAACAACATTCATTACCATTTGATCGGGTTACTGACTTGACCGACTGGAACTTCAGCAACTTAAAAGCTCAACACATAATCAAAACAAGGCGAGAGGGGCTGCTACGTGTCTATAGCTTAGCTTCCCGTCAGCCTGATGCTAAACTGCTTAGCGGATGCTGTTGACACAGCAGCTGCTCTGTGATTGGCTGAAAACACTCCCGGCTACGGAATCTGATTGGTTCTGAGGTTCCGTTATCCATGACGTTGATATGGGCCTGAATAACAGCCACTCCTTCTTGTTGTATATGTTTGTAATTATTAATGTTCTATATTGTTCATGTATGATAATTTTTTTTTTTTTCAATAAAAAAAAAAAGAAAAAAAAAATTCTTCTTGGGGAGCTTTTTTGTATCTGCATTGTGAATATGTATCAATGAAAATAAAAAACAAAAAAATATATTCTTTAGGTTGGAAATGCTCATTCATTCACTGACTTCTTGGAGAAATGTTGTTATATTCAGGCTCACATCCTTGGTAACTTTACCCTTGCGTGCACGAATGTGCTATTTGGCTTCTGCAATGTCTGTGCTTCTGAAGGAAAAAATATATAATCAATCTTTTATCAATCCAAGCAAAATGTCATATCAATAAATGCACAATTTCTGCAAGGGAAAATTCTTTTAAACTCGTTTTGAATGAACATAAATGTCTTAACTATATTACCCATTAACTGTTCTCCTGTAATTTTTGTATTCCTGTTTATCATTT